TCTGGAAAAATCATGGAAATTGAAAATGTCATTTTCCAGGCCTGAAAAAGTCATGGAATTTAGTAAATTCAGTGAAAATTTCAGAAAAGTTATAGAATTTTAGTATCTGTTTTATGCCACTACAGCGTTCTGTTAAGTTATCATTAGGCTATTATAATTATTTCTGAACTTATGTGCCTTTTCTTTAAAAGAGAGGACAATAAATGCACAGTATTTTGAATGTTAAAAAACTATAATAACAAACCATAAAGTGAGTGGAAAGGGTTAACATTTCATATTTAACCCTAAAGGTTTGACCCATTCTACATATGTTGGGTGCCATAAAGTCATGGAAAATTCACTTAAGGTCATGAAAAAGTCATGGAAAAGTTTTGAAATTTTGTCAATGAAAAAAGTGGGAACCCTGTAAATCCCTCTTGACTCTGCATACACACACCTGGATATACCAACAACTATAACTCTAACTAAAATAAGTAAAACTAATACATACATGTGAGGACGAAACAGAGACTTTCTTGGAGCTGGACTCTGGCATCTTGTCTTGCACTGTAATCCTCTCTGTCATCACTACTGGCAGCGTTTCATTAGACAGACCTCTTCTCTCTATCCAAAGTCAGGGCTGTGTCTGTCATTGAACACCTTCAGGGATGAAGCAGATCAGCTAATTCAGACATAAAACTCTTCTGCTCCCATCACACAAACTCATCAGGAGTCTGGTGACATTTTACATACAGAAGATTATGTTTTCAACTTGGACACTTTGAAACATACATATAAAAACATTCAATATTAGTTAGAACTAGGTTGCAGTAGTTTAGTTTGTTTGGCTTAGTTTATTTAAAGTATAAATATGTAATATGGACAAGCAGAAAAGAGATAGCACGGAGTGAGTTGGCAAATGTTTTGGGAGCGAGATTTTATTTTATTTTAAAGATTCAGTGACATGTATCTAAAAGATCTGTGTTCTTTAAAATGAGATTTGGCTATTGTCTGTTTACGATTGTTAATGTGCATTTAACCAGTCCGTCTCTGTCAGCATATCATTTTGAGCATGATAATGGGTATTTTTGTGCTGCATTATGTAAGAAATATGGAACTAAATACCATCTTATTTTAATCCCTGCATGGAATTGTACATCTTTGAAGTCTTTCTTCTCTCGACGAGCTATCACAGATCTGTCATGCACCACCAGGGGGCAGCAGCTCCTCTGTGTGCACTGTGCTTGTGCTGTCATGCTGTGCTCTCCTCCCCTTGCGCTGGTTGGAGCCTGGTTGCTGTGGTAACGGGCCTGTCTGAAGCAGATTTGAATGGAGGGGGCTCAGAGACACAGAGGGCAGTGTTGAGCCGGAGAACAGCCACTGAATCTCAATCAGGCTGTAACAGAGAGCTCTAGTGACGAGGCAAACACCATAAAGCACTCCCTATTCAACTTTCCCTTATGATAATGTTTAACAAGTAAAACAATATACATGCAATAGAAAACCCTGGCCACCATAGTTGCTTTCGTTCTGTAGCATGTCCTCTTTCTGCTGTGGATTGACAGGTTTTAGCCGGGGCTTATGTGTGACAGCTGTTGTGAGCTGCTATAGGCTGCAGCTGCTTGGCATCAGTCTACTGATGTTGAAAGCAGCTACTACCATATGTTTATGCTGCCTTTACAGAATACAAGATTGTGGTGTATCTGACAGATTTCAACTTATAACTTTTTTATTTATCACATTTGTTGAAAGCATTTAAATCATTCACTGTTCAAATCTGTAAGCATTTCAACACAAGCTACGGCAAAGATGTTTATATTCAGTATCTGTAGTTGTTTTCTTATTTCTTGCGCAGATGTTTGGGAGCCCGCACCCCTGCCTTCCTAAAACAAGTTGTGCAAAACTAGATTTAAGGTTATGTAATGTGAACTGGGGGCATGGAGGATATGTCTAAGCCAGTTGTATTTGGGTTAAACCTCAGCTCTGTAGATCCAGCAGTGACAGACCTCACACACTGACATTTGTAAGCATCTTCAACTGTCAACATTTTGATGGGAGCTTCTTTTTGTGCACTATTATGTAACACATGTTTTTTCTATGCTATACAAATTTCTATGCTATACAAATCTATTGAACACATGATTTCTAAACCTTATATCTTGTGATTTGAAGATATTCTTTGAAGCAGATTCTGGGTTAAATTTGCTCATGTTAGACATTTATACAGTCATTTATTTTAAGGTGAGGTAGTCTTTTGTATCAGTGTTGGTTGTACCTGATATAAATGGCAATATGAAAAATCTGAAAGGGTTATTGTTTATTATTACTTATTTAGGGTAAATGTACATACTGTAAGCAAATTGGAGCTAATTGTTGATAGATACTCTCAAGCTTTTTTGAGTTTAAAATATGTGTATTGAATATTACAGTAATGTGACAGATTACATCTTTTTATATTTACATTATGTTATTTTCATATTACATTTTATTGTAGCCATTATTAAATGAATTAATCATACTTGTTAAATAATGTGCAGTTGTATAGTCTTTTGATTAGAGGTCTCTCATTCCCTGTGTCTACATGGTTGTGATTGTAATCTCTCCGGTACATAGCTTTAATCCTCATAAATATTGAATATTTAATGACTTCCTCCTTGATGGAGCATGACACCTGGGCGGGCCACCCTCCACTGCCTGAACGTCCCCACCGGAGGGGGTTGTTCTGGCTGTGGTCCTCAGTTGTGAGCCAGCAGTCCAATGCAAACATGAATGGAAACATATTTTACTTTTGATGAGAGATTGTTACAATGTAGTAAACCTCTAGTGGTTAATAGACTGGTGAGTAGAGCAGTGGTTCCCAGTCTATGGTGTTAGGGACTTGGTGTTTCGTCATCAGGTTGCTATTTCCAGAGTTACATTTGTGGTGTAGACTACTGCTGAGTCATGAGACTGGCCAAATTTGACTTATCTCTACAGGTACATTATAGATAATCCTGGTAATTTATCTTGTAAATATCAGATTTATTCCAAGTTCAAATGTATTCCTTTGAACAGTTTTTGTTCTTGTTTAGATGAGGTTTGATCCTGGTTTAGCTGTCCTAGATTATTATAATTATTTAAAAAAATATAATTATTATGTTATGCCATGTGCAAGATTCTGTCCTGGTTTAGTCCTTGGCCATTCTTATGTAGTTCTGCTTTTAAGACCTGGTTAATTTGTTGATGTATCTTGTTTTCCGGTTTTGGTCCGGTTTTGGTCTGAGATGCTACTCAGGGCTATTGTACACATGAGGAGGAAGCCTTGTGCATATCGGATGTCTGTGAGAGAGTGAGTGGTGTATGTTTTTCATTTTTACAGTCTCACCGCTGCGAGTCGAGCCACGATCGTAATGATGGTCGTCAGTATGGCTGTTGCTAGGTAACAATTACCTGACTGTGCTGCTGCTCCAACAGAGGGCCATGCATGTGCAGAGGAAAAATACAGCTACAGATAATGCACCCAGGGTCTCCTCCACTCTCCAATAAAATCTCACTGTTATTATAATATAGATTATTTTACACTATATCAGTAATATGCTGTGTACTAAATAAATCAGATTTTTGGGTCCATCTCCTGGTTGTATTTATAGTGTAGTAAGTCCATCCGGGGAAGAGATCCATGTGACACAGGATGATGTCAGCGCAGACCACACCTCAGGCCACGCTCAACAACACGCCGCTTCCTCCCTCTCACATCCAAGACTCTGGCTGTGCATTGTAACAATGTACTGTACAGCTATGTGACCTGTTATATGTTTCTGAAATTGGTTTATCTTTTCAAACAAATGCAGTATTTCCATGCACATTGAAGGCTGTTTCTAATAGCAATCACCAATATTTTTTTATCTATGCTTTTGCACCAATTACATACCATGAATAATCCTAATGTTTTTGTAATGTTTGATTGTAGATTCCATTTGAGCATATTTTAGGGTGGTAAAATAAATTGCAATGGTATCACATTAGAATTTAAATGGTTGTAGTTGTAGTGTTTCCCACAGATTTATACTAAGACTGTAGTGGCATAAGCAATCCATGTTCAAATCATTTTCTTTAATACAATATGTTGGTGTAGAAATACATATTACAGATTACTATTACAGAATACAGATTACAGATTAAATGGTTACAGATGGTTACTTATATATGTTTGTGATGACAAGCACAAGCACAAAGTATAATTTGTTTTACCAGTTATTTTTGCTCAGACAGTTTTTAGACTGGGGGACTATGCGGGGCCACAATAGTCTCCTCTATTAAAGGGAAACACTAAATTGGGAAAATGCTATCTCAGTATTCTTAAGAATTCTTAAGATTCTTAAGAATCTCAGCCCTTCTGCTATGCTCTATGCTATGCCTCTTTGTCTATTTCGTTTGTTTCTCATTCATTCTAATGGAGTGGCTACCTGCCCTGTCAGCAGCCACAGTGACAGTGCCGTTCTGACGCCAAGAGGAAGCCCAGTGCAGTGATCAGAGGCTCACAGGAGGCAGGGCTCTTCCCCCTGAAGAGGCTGCCAGCACTCTCAGACAGGAGGATATATTTGGAGATCATTAAATGGCCCTAAATGCGACCCTGGCGTGAGAGCCAGCCCTGACCATCTGGCCCCATTGTGCACACCCATGCTTTGTTCAAATGCAGTCAGTGGCATCAGCACTTCTCATTGGATAGATGCTTCAATAAAGCTGAGGTCTGTCCAATCAGAGAGACTTTTAACTAATTACACCTGCCCCTGTGGCTTACTCATTAACCTATTTATTGCACTATGTGTTTGGGTGAAATGACTGTGATGTTTTATGTGAAGTAATTTTGCTTGTTATATATATTTACATGCTTTCTTTCTTCTTTTTGTTCTGATTTATATTTATTTTGTGTATAGTATTTTGTTTAGAGTCTGGCCAAGCCAGGCATATTGAATTTAGTATGTAGTGTGCATTTCGCACTCTTTCTTACCCATTCACTAAAAAATGTTAATGTTTTCCAGGTAACAAGCTGAATAAGGATTTAAAGCACTACTTGAACCTGAGGTTTCAGAAGTCTTCCCCGGATCATGAGTTACAGAAAATCATCCGAGCCAATCTTTATCGCCACGCTGTGCCTTGTGAGTACTAATATGAGTTTTATTCTGTGGTTTCTTGACCAACTTTTAAAATCAGCTTTAGTTGTATCGAATGTCCATCTGAGTAAGTTTTTTTTTTTGGTGGTACTCAGTAGAAAGAGTTTGAGACTCTTTGGCTTGATTTATGTCTTTATAGCTCACCATTAAAAACAAAACAAACAAACAAAAAAAACATGATGACAAAAATCTTCATGTTTGATGACAGCAGGCAGAATATCCATAGAAATACTATTAGCTGTTACTAGTGCTATTAGCACTACTTGTCTTCTTATAGTATCAGAATACTTTCATATCTCCCGTATCTCAAAATTTTCCTAACTGTAAATTTAATGATGTATGACAACATAATCAGAATCTCTACTTTTTAATTACGGGAACTTAGAACTGTAATAGAATCTTGTACCTGTCCACTTGTTGTTACCAGAGGTTGAATCTTGACCTCAATCTTACTGGACAGCGCTACCATTTCCTGTGGTACTTGTGTCATGATTAGGTTGAAACAATGTCACTCATGGATTACAAGATAAAGTCTTAGGCACAAAGTATTTCACAAAGCTCGGAATCATCATTGGTCAATCCACAATCCTACTTTTCCATTTTAAATACAACATTACTGGGCTATTTGTTCATCATATCATTTGCATACAGTTTCAATCATTTTGCATGCTTGAATCTCCTACTTTGTGCATCTTAGTTTAGAACATATACTACTAAATACAATAATACATTATAATACAATAACAATACTAATAACTAATCAGGAAATAGGTATATTTACTTTATATGATTCATGAGTGTATAATACACATAAGCAGAAATATTGGTAAAATAATATACATAATATGATGCAATTTACTGCTTTGGCACAGTTTTTTTTATCCCTTATTCTCTTTTTCCTTCATTGATGTAGGGAGGGACTCTGCATCGTAATATTTTTTCCTTTTATTTGCACTTTTGCTCTCAATCTGTAGCTGGCTGTGGTCCTTCTGCCCTGCGTCATGTGACCGTTAAATCCCCCTCTGAGCTCCCCCCATGCTGATCGCACTGGGATTATGATGTTCTGATATATTGAAAATAGACTCCTGCCTGATTATGTGATGAGTGGGCTGAGCCTTCACAAAGAGGGCAAGACACGACCACACTACATACAGGGAACACAGAGCAAAACTACAGTCGGGTCACATTATCTCTGCTTAGTCTGGATCAATGAATTGGAATGCTGTGTGTATTTGTTAGGTGAATTTAAAGAATGCAGCGATGTGCAATGATTATATGGACAGAATTATTTAAGAAATGATTGTGATATTTTATTTTTTGTTATTGTCATGACAATTTCAGACTTAATATCAATATTAATACTAATAGTTAATACTGGTTTTAATATTTTTGAGTCAGTAGAATGTAATTTTCAACGCAAACCATTAGGGACGTAACGATATCCAAATCTCTCGGTACGATATTTATTGCAGATATAATTGTAGATAGGATGCTTTTTAGTTTTTAAAATACCCTGACAAGAATTTGGTGTGAATTATTTCCATCATAATCTCTAGAATTCAAGTAAAAAACATATCTCTTCATGTTGTCTGTGCGAAAATTAATCATGGGATATGTAGTTCCCGATGTTTAAGAGGTATTGCAGCTGTAAAACAATTTAAGCAAAGGATTTTGTGATTCGATATATTGTGACGTCCCATGGTATTATTGTGAAACTTTTGACGATACGATATCATGATATTTCGGTTATTGTTACATCCCTACAAACCATGTGGTCGTATATTAGTTCTGTCATAGATAGTAGGATAGATTGTATTTCAGTATTGATATATGTTGAAATGAGTACATAATTTTTAAGCCATTTGTACAGGTATGCTTTGATGTGTCACCACTGACGGCAGCAAATCAACTCTCTCTTTGGAGTTTATTCCATAAGGATTATACCTGAAGCATAAATAAACACATACCGTATATAGTTTTCCTCTGCAGCTATATTTGAACATTTTAATGATAACAACTTCCAGGAACTCTACAGTTTTCTTCTTCATGGCAAAAAATGTATTGAAAGAAATGTGATTATTCATTCAACGCTCCGTCAGCAGCATAATAGATGCAAATGTTCAATGACTGAGCGATGTTATTGTTTAGTAACGTAACATTTCCGCTGTGAATGAATTGACTTTGTACTTGTGAACATCTACAATGGCTGGGTGTGAATGAGCTGCAGGGAACCCAAACAATTAGTGCGGAGTGTCAGAAAAACAAGCACAATGAAGTAATACAGTACAGTACAGTACAGTAATACATCTCGCTGGGGCCATTCTGCATGTACCAGGGTGACACAGTGCACACAGCAAACACAGCCCAAAAAAAAGTTGAAAGATCTGAAAGTCTGAAAAAATATGAAAGTTTCAGGAGCCTGTGATCAATACAAGTGTTCATGGTCCTGTTTAGGAGTTAGAGGGCCTGTTTACACGAGAACACTTGTGGGTAAAACGATAAACTATTTGATCAGAAGTGCCTTTCGTTTAGATGGTGGCGGCGTTTTTGGGGCTTAAAAACACAAAAATCTGAAATCACCCACCAGAGTGGAGAAATTGAATATGCTTTGCCATAGCATTTCCGTCTACACTGCCCAAGACGCAAAACTCTGGTCAGATCTGGTCACGGCGCATACGTATTTACGTCACATACATCACCACCTAGCATCACCACTTAGCCGCCTGACATGCATACCCAATCGAAATTGACACACTTTTGCATCACTGCATGCACGCAGATTTCCTCCCGAAAACGCTTGTCTAAACACAGAATAAAAAGTGAAGACGCAATGCCACTTTTGGGTCTTCCGTTCAGACCGTCATTATATAAACGTAGCCTGATTTTCAACAGAAAGATCAGAGTGACTAAATGAAAAACTAATGATAGCTATCTTATCACTGTAATTTTATGTGTGAGAGACTTGCTTAACAGCACAAATAATCTCACCTGTTGTAGTTCCAACTAAATCAGTTTTGTCTGGCCAGATTGTGCTAAAATAACATAAAATAAAAGAGCTTCAAACTGAGTAGTACCTTCAGTTAGTATCACACCCCAGGGACTGTTGATGATATCAGCTGCAAAGTATCAATAAGCAGAAGACATGAGAGGGGACCTTTCCTCTGGCCTCTAAATGCACAAAGACAGCACTTTCACAATATGCTGTACGATTGATAATAAATTCTAGTCTTTTTTTTTTTTTTTTTTAATTAAGTCATAATTTCATATGGAGGGCAGAGGCCTACAGACTTAGACAGGCTTAGACTCAGACAAACTTTATTGATCTACAAGGGAAATTATTTGGACACAGTAGCTCACACATCATAATATATTATCATAACAAAGAGCAAAAATATAAATGGTAATAATTCTAAATAAGTAGCAAAAAAGACAGACACCTGTCAAAAAAGACAGGTGTCAAATAAGGCATGATTATATAATGTACAAGTCAAAATAATAATAAGATAAGTAATAAAAAATATAAAATCACAGCTTTATACAAGATGATAAGGAAGACATGATGATTGACAGGACATATGCTTATTCGTTGCATAAATTGTTGTACAGTTGTAGGGAGTTTATCTGTTAAATAAAAGCGAGTTGTTATATGTAACTCTGTGGGAGATTTACAAACATAAATATCCAAATTAATAATCCACAGATTTTGAATCATTATCAATATTTGTCTGCGATAGGCCGCTCAAAATTTATATATGAATTCTATGACTTACAGCCCTTTCAACTCACAACAATCACGGATTTGGTATTGAATAATAGCCAACCACTTAAATAACCACTTTAGCACACATTGGATTGTTAGGAGGTTTCTTAGTGCTCATATGCTAACCAGCTAACCTGCTTTAGGCCAGTGTAGACACTTAGATGTTTGGACAAGATAATACCACACACTTACATGCAACAAATGAGATCTATGTTTTGGTCTGAAGTATTGAAAACCTAACACGCTCCTCAAATGCTTCATCACTTTGACACACTGTATTTAAGCACTTAATCACTCTCGCCATGTTGGACGATGTGCCATACATGTAAAATGAGATGTGTTGATTTCTCTTTTCCCCTTATATACAGTGATACTAAAGCCTTAAAGTGCGTAGGACAGGTAATTCTCTAATTTTGACTTCATTTGGTGGGATTATGACTATTGTAAATATAAATTGTAGTTTTACACTAATCAAGAAGCTATTTGCAAAGAAAAGTTGAACAATATGTTGAAAATTGCAGGAAATAGAGAGTTTAAGCATATGTCACACTGGGAGAATTCTGTTCAAAAGTTTGGCACAGTTTACAGAAACACATTTTTATGGTACTTTAACCCAACTAGCAAGTAACCTAAAAATGGGCAAACCTAAAAAATTGGCAAATTGAATGTTTTTTGCCAAAATCGTAAGTATATCTTAACTGTGTTTTAGTAAAATGAGTAGACTAACCCATCATAGGCACTTTAGCAGCAGACATTGATCTGACTACAACAAAACACTACCCCGGTCCAACATGGAAATTTTATACTGACTACACCTTCATTCTGTCGTTCTTTCATACATAGTATCAGTACACCCCCCACCCCCCCACCCTCTTTCTCTCTCAGTCACACACATGCAAATACAGCCTTGGCATGACACTGCAGAAGAACAAAGCAGCAGGCAAATAATAAAAGGCCACACTCCTCCTGGTCTTGTGGCTGTTCCCTCGTGCTAGCTGTACCCCTCCTCTGTGACACATGAGTTGGATTCAGACAGGTGCCTCAGCCTGCTGTTACCACTGTTGCTGTTTTTCTAGTCTTACATCTGCCTCTATGACTCTGTTTTAGCTGTTTGGTTGGGCAGGTTTATCATATTTAAGTTGGGCCAGTTGTGTTTCTTTGTTTTATTACAGGAGTAGTGTATAAATAAGAATCACATCAGTAATCACCCTCAGTCCATTGATTC